ATGATTGAGTACTAAACTTTTACAATTTTCAAATGCATCCCAATGATTTAATAATCATTTTGTTTCTTTGCAAACTAAGTTTGCAACTAAAATTTGAATTCAGTTCTGAAATTCAGCTCTAAATTACGTTCTGATTTTTAGTTTTGAATTCAAATCTGATTTTCAGTGCTGAATTCAGTTCTGATTTTCAGTGCTGAATTCAATTCTAAATTCAGGTCTGATTTTCAGCTCTGAATTCAGGTATGATTTTAAGCTTTGAATTCAGGTCTGATTTTCGGCTCTAAATTCAGGTCTGATTTTCGACTCTGAATTTAGGTCTGATTTTCAGCTCTGAATTCAGGTCTGATTTTCAGCTCTGAATTCAGGTCTGATTTTCAGCTCTGAATTCAGGTCTGATTCAGCTCTAAATCCAGGTCTGATTTTCAGCTCTGAATTCAGGTCTGATTTTCAGTTCTGATTTTCAGTTCTGAATTCAGGTCTGATTTTCAGCTCTGAATTCAGGTCTGATTTTTAGTTCTTAATTCAGTTCTGAAAGTTGGCTTTGAATTCAATTATGATATTTAGTTCTGAATTCAGTTTTGTAATTCGGCTTTGAATTCCATTCTGATTATCAATTCTGCATTCAGTTATGAATTTAGGCTTTGAATTCATTCTGATTATCAATTCTGCATTCATCTCATGTGATAATAATTAAGAGTTCAATTTAAGTCAAATGAAGGTTTACCTCTAACAAGCGATGACTTAGCTCCGTTGGATTGGTTGAGTTAGATGGGGAAGGTTGGGCATCATTTACTTGCAAATCATTAACAGTCATGTGTGGTATGAAAACAGAAAGATAAGAATTTACAGCTGTTGCAATGCCTTCCTTTAATTTTTCTTCAAATTCCCGAGTTAAGTTCTCTTTAAATTCATCTAGTTCTTGTAATGAGAAACCACTTTTAGGCATGTTTTTACCTTTTACCGGGCCAAATGATTTTCTATAGCCGACACCAATCCCACATCCACCAAGTCCTTTCACAAATCCACGATGGTCCTTTTTCCCAAATGCCAAAGTAAGGGCATCAACGCCTCGCTCTGATTGTTTACACTCTCCTTCCTTAGATTCCTTTGCTTGTTTTTCCAAGTTCTCTTCCTGTTTGAAAAAATATAGAAAAAGTTAATTAGATGACCAGAAATCTGTAATGCTAGTAGATTTTTGCCTTTTGATAAACTATGATATACAACTATGTTGGCAATTCGAATAGTCTCCGTATCTTTTGGGTCGATGCCCCATGTTCCATCTGGCAACTGCTTTTCATGAGCTAAAACCCACTCAAGAGCTCGACGATCAAAAATAGAACCAGTTGATGTACTGCTCTGGGAAGTGTTGCCATTAGTTTAAGATTCTGCAAGAGAAGGAAATCTATTTTCAAGTCTCTTTTGCTTATTCCAAATTGTCCGAGCTCTTTGAAAACTGTTTCGACCCAAGTGATGGCGACATTTGTTTAGCTTTGTATTTTCCTTCCCCTTTTCACTCTTTTCCTGTTTTTTTATTTTTTAAAAAAAAAAGAAAAGAAAAGAGATTTAAACATTGTCATATTCTTCACAATCAGTTTTTGTTTGATTAATTAACAGTGCATGTGAATATGTAGTTACCTTGAATTCTGATGATTTACTATATATTTCGAATCTCTTCCATTTCTCCTCTGTAAAGTAACCTTCATACACTTCCCATGGCTTCATATTTTCATCAGTAGAAGTGGTCGGGCATGGGTTTTTAAAAGTGATGAATTGTGCCCTTAAATTCGACTTGTGACTGCTGAATCGCGTAGCCACAACACTATGAAACTTTTTAGCCTTTCTCCACTTGGATCCTCAATGTGGAACATTCGCTGTGGATTAAAAAAAAAGTGAACTAATATTTTGAAAAGCAACATGACTAACTAGTAAGTGAATAGTTTATACCTTTGTCTCCTCCCATATATTTTCCCGATCCACTTTATCTATTTTTACATACTCATTCACAGTGATGTCTAATCTCTTAGCACATGCACCAATTTGTTTTCCAAAAACGGGTTCCCATTCCCCAGTAGACAAGTCAAAATCATTAAATTCAAGCACCATAGGCTTACTTAATTGTATTGCCTTTGATGACCCCCTACTCCTCTTCTTAGATGATGTGGCTTGCAAAGCAACATCTTGGCTTGAGGAAGTTTGCTCTTGACTTTGTTGAATGGTCATATTTATGCTCCTTGATCTAGAAGTGCCTGCATAAAACAAAAGACAAAAACTGATAGAATTAAATATCACATGAACAGAGCTATATTTTTACATATTATAAAAGGTTTCTATCTACAAGTAAGTAACAAAGCAAGAAAATATAAATAATAAAAGCAACCTGCAGAGACATTATTTTTCAATTCCTGAAGTTATAATACCAATAAAAACAGTCAAGCTTGTGCCGCAAATATAAGAACTATGTAAAATTCCATTTAATATGTCAAAGCTCAAAAGACTAAAATCCAAGTGAAACTGGAGGTTTTATAGTCGTCTAACATTATTGTCTAGCATTATAGTTACAAATTAATCGAAGAATTAAAAAGAACTACAGATTGATAAAAAATGAAGCCTAGGTATCAACATATTCTCCCTCCTCATGGGCATACTCTTCATCTGCGACAATGTCTTCCCCCTCTCTTATGGGTTGAGCCCCAATAGATAGAGGCGGTGTATCATCAAATAGGTCATACTCTTCCTCATCGACAACATTTTCGACACCAACAATTTTTCTCTTGCCTTGAACAACAACCTGCCAGTTATGATCAATGTTATCCCTTATATAGAAAATTTGTTTTGCTTGTGAAGCTAAAACGAAGGGCTCCTCCCCATCAACAAATCGACTTGAATCCACTAAAGTAAAACCAAATAGTTCATTTATCTTTTTTTCCTCGCCGATTGTCAGCCCACCTGCATCGAAAAACTGGAACTACAAAATCAACATAATTCAGCTCCCATATCTCTTGAATGACCCCATAGTATGACTGTGTTGCATTAATAGGCCTAGAATCCTTAGAGCTTGAGTATTCTGTAGAAGATCCGACAACCATGACACCACTATTTTGATGTACACTCTTATCATCTTGGCGACTAGTGTAGAAATAATACCCATTGATGTCATAGCCTTTATAAGTGTTCACAAACAATTGAGGACCCCGTGCAAGCCATCTAATCGTATCAGATACATTATTATTCGGTTGCCCTAATTCACACTTCCCTTGGTTTTGAAACCATTCAACAAAAGAATGATTATGTTTTTGCATCAAAGCATATGTACCTATTCTTGGATTCATTCTTTTCAAATAATTGAGATGAGTTTCTATATAAGGATGGACTTCTGAAAGGTTTTGAAGAACATAACGATGAGCTTTCTGGATTCTATCTAATGGAGGCTTCACAAATTGAAGACTGATCGTCCCTTGCCCTTGAAGTCTGCCTTCATGACGAGATGTTGGAACTCCAATTTCTTTAGCCTTAGTTAAGAACACAGAACAAAAGTTACTAGCCTCCACTGCTATAATACCTCCAATAATAATACCTTCTGGATATGCTTCGTTGGTCGCCTTTTCTTTCAAAGTTCCCATGCGTCTCTCATAAGGGTACATCCATCTCAAAAAAATCAGGCCACATTCCTTGATTTCTCGTACTAGATGGACAACCAAATGAACCATTATGTCAAAAAATGAAGGAGGAAAATACATCCCAAATTTTCATAACGTTTCTACAACGTTAGTTTGCATTTCATCAAGTTTATCTGGATCAATTACCTTGTTACATATGGCATTAAAAAATAGGCAAAGTTTAACAATAGTGTGCCTAACTTGTTTTGGAAAAAGAGCTCAAAGTGCAATAGGCAACATCACTTGCATCATGACATGGCAATCATGGGATTCCATACCAATTAATCTCTTATCGGCCATTGAAACTAGCGGCTTAATGTTCGACGAATACCCTGTAGGTACTTTGATGCCATACAAACACTCACAAAATATTTTTTTCTCCTCTCTAGACAATGTGTAGCAAGCTCGAGGCAAAAATGTCTTTTTTGTTTCTTCATTTTCCACGGGCCATAACTTTGGTCGAATATTTGAAAGCTTCATGTCTTTCCGGACATCTTTATAATCCTTTGTCTTGTTAGGTATATTTAATAATGTCCCGATGATTGAATCACATACATTTTTTTCAATATGAATAACATCAAGACAAAGTCTAACAGACAAGTGTTTCCAATAAGGAAGAATTCAAAATGTAGACACCTTTTTCCAAAGACCCGTAATAGAGGTAGGTTTACCAACTTTCCCGAAAATTGTCTCTACATCTTTGATTCTCTCCCACAACTCTATACCACTAAGTGGCTCACGCAACCATTGTTTCTCTGGGAACCCATTGAATTAAGATTTTTTCTTACGATAAGGGTGATCTCGACGAAGCAGTTGTCTAGTATACATATAAACATCCTTTCCAAAATTCTTGAGGCGTGTTGGTTCCATTTTGTGCTCATAGATGGGGCATGGTTTTATCCCTCTGACTTTGTACCCAGACAAGTTCCCATAAGCCGGGAAATAATTTACAGTGCAAAAAATCATGGCCCGCAAAGTAAAATTTGTACTTGTATGGGCATCGAACATTGGAACACCTTTATCCCATAACAGTCTCAAATCCTCCAAGAGAGGCTCCAAGTAGACATCTATGTAATTACCGGGTTGTTTGGGACCCGATATTAGAAGCGACAACATGATGTACTTACGTTTCATGCATAGCCAAGGAGGCAAATTAAAAATTAACAAAAGCACCGGCCATGTGCTATGTGGAGAGCTAAGGGTACCGTAAGGATTCATTCCGTCGGTACTTAATGCAAGTCTCAGGTTCCTAGCCTCTTTACCAAACTCCGGAAATGTATCATCAATATGTTTCTATTGCTTCGAATCAGAAGGATGCCTAATGTACCCATCTTTCTTCCTCTCTTATGCATGCCACACCAAGTTTTTTGCATCCTTCTTGATAGAAAAAAGTCGTTTAAACCTCAGTATTATAGGCAGATACCATAACACCTTAGCTGGTGGCCACTTCTTGCGATTGGGGTTTGAACCCTCGCGCTTGTAGCAATCAACACCGCACTTTAGACAAGCATCAAGGTTTTCATACTCATTTCGAAAAAGTACACAATCATTACGACATGCATCGATCTTCGTGCACTCAATACCTAAGGGACACAATAGCTTCTTTTCATAGTAGGTAGACTTAGGAATGTCATTCCCTTCAGGAAGCATGTTTGATAAAGTTTCTAACAACGAATTGAAACTTGTATCGGTCCAACCGTTCTTTGCTTTCAAGTTAAATAATGTTAAAACCCCTGAAAGCATAGAGTACTTTGCACATCCAGGATATAAAGGTGTCTTGGCGGCCTCTGACACATTTTCAAACATACGAGATTCTTCATTCACATGATCACCTAAACCATCCATCATCTCAGGAATGTGATCCTCCTCTAAAAAATCATCGGTATCCCTTTCATTATCATCATATTGTTTTCTATTCTCTATATCAGCATCATTGATTGATGACCTACTAGTTGTAGGAATTATTTTCTCACCGTGCCAATACCAAATGGTATAATTTGCCATGAACCCACGGCGAAATAAATGGTTTTCAACCACACTAATTTCCTTCCACTTCTTCACATTGTTGCAATCACGACAAGGGAAAAAGATTGTTTCTCCTTTAGTAGTCCTCTGGTGTTTAATAGCAGTTCTACAAAATTCCTCAATCCCGTTCATGAACTCGGGTTGAGTTCGATTTTCAACATACATCCAATCACGATTCATTTCTTACTACAAATTATAGAAAAAGCAAGCATATAACTATTAGAACAAGTACATTAGAAACAAACAAAGATAATTACAATAGAACAGCAACCAGAGATTATCAATCAACTCCCACAAGATAAAATACCTCAAAAAACAGTCAAACTCACAAGTATGAACAAAATGCATGCACACTTTATATATGCCTACCAGGCTACCACTAATTCATTTTCTCTCTAGCTAGAACTATAGTTCGGTTAAATCAATACAACCAATTGGAATAACCGAATAAAATTGGTGTGTTAACTCATTTTCAGCTTTGAATTCAACCCGAATCATTTTAGTACTGATTATTAGTTTAGAATTTCAGCTCTGAAATCAGTTCTTAATTTTAGCTCTGAAAGCAGTTCTGAATTTCAGCTCTAAAATTCAGTTCTTAATTTTAGCTCTGAATAAGCTTTATTTAGTGCAAAATAGTGCATGCCGGCAGATGTTCTGCTTAACAAACAATGCTAATTGTTAACTTCAATTCTTTAAGATGAAAGAGGTATATAACAGATGCTCAGAATGAAAACAGTGCATACTGGCAGGGAATATTCCATAATATGTCCAAATATCCAATCACCACAACAAAGGCACACGTGTTTCGTTTACATTTCAGGTAGTGCAGGCATCTAGTAGCAGCTAAGCCTAATGCATCAGTACATCACAAATGACTGCAAACCCACATAGCAAAGCGTAAAACTGTAAATACTACAAGAACCCAAATTAGTAATCTCTGTAAGAAATACCTATCCACCTACAAATATGTATAAATTTGATAGGTTGTGGGAAATCTCACTGATCAAACTTAACTATGGATCATAGACACAAACATTTGTGGATTCACCAAAAGAAAAGAAGTAAAGAAATACTCAAGAATACATATTACAATTCCATTTTTGCAACTATCCAAGTTGTGGATTTAAACTTGAATGTTGAAGTATTAGCGAATTGGTCAAGTACTATCTCGTCACTCAAAACTCAAAGGATCCAAAACTCTAATTTTAGTTCTGATTGTTAGTCTTGAATTTCAGTTTTCATTCAGTTCTGATTTTCAGATCTGAAATTCAGCTCTGAAATCAGTTTTGAATTTCAGCACTGAAATCAGTTTTGAGTTTTAGCTCCGAAATAAGTTCTGAATTTCAGCTCTGAAATCAGTTTTGAATTTCAGCACTGAAATCAGTTCTGAGTTTCAGCACTGAAATCAGTTCTGAGTTTCAGCACTGAAATCAGTTCTAAATTTCAACTCTGAAATCAGTTCTGAGTTTCAGCTCTGAATTTCAGTTCTGAAATCATTTCTGAGTTTCAACACTGAAATAAGTTCTGAGTTTTGAATTGAAATCAGTTCTGAGAATTGAAATCAATTTTGAATTTTAGTTCTGTAATCAGTTTTGAATTTCAGCACTGAAATCAACTCTGAGGTTCAGGACTGAAATCAGTTCTGAGTTTTAGGATTGAAATCAGTTATGAATTTAAGCTGTGAAATCATTTCTGATGTTAAAGTGTGATAGCCAGAACTGTGGCGGCGAAAGCAATGTATCCTATTTTGCTGATAAATGTCAACACTTGTAGCTCTCAAAAATCAGTTCTGATAAATGTCTGAGTTATGTCTCACTAAACTCTACCATATGTTCATTATCTTATTGTATATTTTATGTCTCACTATACTATACAAAGCTAGTTACAAACTTTTTGGTCAAACTTTCTTTGACTAAGTATTTGTAACCGGCGTTTGTAAGGTAGTTACAAGTTTTTTAGTTAAATTTTTTGAGACTGAACAGTTGTAACAGACATTTATTTAGTCAGTTACTAATAAAACTTCAAATAAAGATACACCACATATTAGTAACTGACATTTACTACGTTGGTTACTAATGTCATGGAATTTGTAACTAGCATTATCTTAGTCGGTTACTACTGATGCTTCTGTAACTAGCATAATATACGCTAGTTACTGATAGGGCGTTACAAATAGCATTTTTTCTACTAGTGAAGAACGAAGCAAATGAAGTTTTGAGAATTCTCGAGCAAGAAACGCGACGAGCAGCAGCGGAAATGAGGAAGAGAAGGGTATTTAAGGAAAACCCGACTCTAGCGCCAAGCGCCAGACCTTGGCGTCAACAGATAGGCTTGGCGCCTGAACTTCAGATCTGAAATTCAGTTCTGAAATCATTTTTAAATTTCAGCACTAAAATCAGTTATGAGTTTCAGCACTGAAATCAATTCTGAATTTCAGCTCTGAAATCAGTTTTGAATTTTACCACTGAAATCAGTTCTGAGTTTCAGCACTGAAATCAGCTCTGAATTTCATGTCTGAAATCAGTTTTGAGTTTCAGCTCTGAAATCAATTCTGAATTTCAGTTCTGAAATCAGTTTTGAATTTCAGCACTGAAATCAACTCTGAGTTTTAGGATTGAAATCAGTTCTGAGTTTTAGGATTGAAATCAGTTCTGAGTTTTAGGATTGAAATCAGTTATGAATTTTAGCTCTGAAATCATTTCTGATGTTAAAGTGTGATAGACTGAACAGTGGCGGCGAAAGCAATATATCCTACTTTGCTGATAAATTACATCACTTCTAGCTCTCCAAATCAGTTCTGATAAATGTCTGAGTTATGTCTCACTAAACTCTACCATATGCTCATTATCTTATTGGATATTTTATGTCTCACTATACTACACAAAGTAGTGTTTCAGATTTGATTGCAATCTTGGCCTTTATATTCTGTCAAGAATGAACAACAAAGCAAAAGGATGAAATTCAGCCACTTGATACACACATTAGCATGACTATTAGACCAAGATAAGTAACAGGAAAATACAATTACAACACACCAACAACCACAATAGCCTATGCATCTTATACTGGTGTATGCATCTTATACTGGTGTATGCATCTTAAACTGATCGGCTTAAAGGGACTTGAAATATAATTCATATTAGGCTGGCCTCTTTCTCTATTACTTATAACCGACATAGAAATGGGGTGAAGTTGATGTTACTTGTTGTAGTAGAATAGTTGATACTAGGCTACTGGCAGCAGCTAATTTTAAAGCTTGGCAGCAACTAAATACCATGCTAGTATAAAAATGTGCTTTCAAAAGACAATTTTTAATAGACCATTATTAAACGATTTAGACTATGATACTAGCCTTTTTGTTTGATATGAATGAACTAAAACTCAACCCCTCTAGAACTTCTACAAGTAAACTTGATACCTCAATTTTGCTATACCATTGTGATTTTAACCATTGTAAAATCATACTTACCCCTACCACTCTTCAGCTCATTGATAAAACAGAGGATTCTCACATAACTTAACGGCTCAACCTGATTGTAGGATTCATACAAACAATTAAATCAAACAAACCAACCAAAAAGCTTAAGATCATAATCTAAACGAAGCATAATGCATAATTTTCATGGAATCCATATAAACTTCTTAAGAGTTCTATAACTAAAATCGCTTATAACTTAATTTAAGTGTACTACCACATGCATATATGAATTCAAATAAGAATCAAATTTCCTATCCTAGTCCTTTCTTTCTTGCCAATAGTAGCGTTCAACACAACAACACTAGGAAAAAAACCACTTAGCCACCGGTTCAAAACCCCCCTAAGCCACCGGTTTTGAACCGGTGGTCATTTGGGGGTGGCAATAACCCCAAGAAAGGCCACCGGTTCAAAACCGGTGGCAAAAATGAAAAGGGAATAAAAAGCTGGCACATCAAATTCAAACATGCTCATGAGGGAGTGCTCTATCTCTTTTAAAGTGCCAAGTATTTGTAGCACATAATTAAACATATATATATATATATATATATATATATATATATCATAATATCAAAACCAGGCAGCAAGGGCAGTAAAAGCAAGTAGCTTAAATTAGCAATTAACACAAGTGCACCAAGAGAAATGCATATCATACTTAAGGATCCCTTCTTTCACCAAAACTCAAAGTTAAGAAACATAAGACACATCGGCACCACATAGGCACATCACATCAGCATTGTATTTAGAAATAATCAAATCTCACAATCACACCACATAGGCATATCGCAGCAGCATCAATAATAATGCATAATAACAAAGAATCAATCACAACAGCAGAATACAAAAATATCATCATCAAATGTCAAAATTATCAGAAAACTAATTTGATTTTGACCCCTTACAATTAGCACCACAGAATATTTCCAATAAAAAGCAAATTCAACCATATATAACCAATCAAATACTCGAAGTAAGGCAAAATAAACATGATCCAGATCATATTAAAAAGCAACAATCTTTAAGCCTAAAATAAAACAAAACCAACTAAATTCGACAGAATATGTAACACCCAAATCCTTTCATCCACAAATTTTATAATCAAAACACCAAAACTTGCATCAAGATATAGAATACGAAAAAAAGCAGGATTAATTTTGAAATTTCAATTAATAGAACCTACAAAATCAAAGATACAAATTTAATAGCAACTATAACAATCAAAGATACAAATTTAATAACATGCTACAACGACACATGCTAATGAAATCTACTTTTTTGTAGAATGATTGAAAAGCTACAATCATGAAGCATCGCGCGCCAAAACCACTGATCAAACAAGCAATCGCAAACACCTAAATATACAGAACTATAAACCTTACACATTGAATGGCAGGAGTACATGAATGGGAAGAGAAGAAAATATCTATATCCTCAAGACCAAACACACAAAAAAACACCACAACCCGAATGAACTCAAGTCGGTTGCAGGGGACCAAGTCGATCAACAGCATAATTTCAGTCCCAAACAATAGCTATGCTTGCAAACTCAAACAAAAAGTTTTAAAATCCCATATTTCTGAAACATTGAATATAAATGACAATTCATCAAATCGTGAATTATGGAGAAAAATAACAAGAAAATACTTTCCATATTAAGCATTTCATTACCTAACACTCGTAGACTAAGTATTTGTAACCGGCGTTT